GACACTTACGCCCTTTTTACATTATGTGTTGTGCACTTCGGATGACACATTTCATGTTGAAATAAAACGAAAAGGGCGTAAGTCCCACATACGCCTCTCTCTCATTATATCTTAGGTCTACTCGCGATAATGAGTTTTATATTGTTATATCAACATAAAACGCTTTAACTATTTTCTTCTTCCTTTATGGTCTCATTTTCTTCCGAAGTGTTCAAAGCAGTCACGACTTGAAATTTCATACAGATAATTTCCTGAAATTCGTAGTTATAATTTTAAAAAATGAAATAAATTAATGAATGAAATCGAATAAATTTAGAAGAAAATTTTAGAAAATTTTAGTTTAGTTACTGATATTTCTCATGAAATTGTTTCATTCAAGCAAAAAATCAAAGGGAAATAATTTGAACATTCGTGATGAGAGGGAGGGAGGGGAGGTTAATGTAGAATCAAATATTATTTATTATTAGGGCTGTAGTGCATGTGATTCCGTTTATACTTGATGAATCAATAGGAACGAACAGTACCAAATGAAGGGACATATATATTGGAGTTACGCCCCTCTGTGATTATTGCTTCAAAAACAAAGGAACGTATGTGCCTGAGTTACGCCCCTTTGGAATTATTCATTCTCAATATGAGCTAGAAAAGAAACAAAAAGTATAAAAAGACAGAGGCGTATGTGCTGGAGATACGCCCCTTCAGTACTTGCTAGTCGGACTTACGTCCATTTGCCACTTCAGAAATTTGTCCACAAAAAACCTTTCATAAGTTGCGAAAACTCCATTTCGAAGGAAAAAAAAACATACGCCCCTTTGGTATTAAGAGAAAAAAAATTTCAGAGAAATGGCACTTACGCCCCTTTGATTTTAATGCGACGATATAATTAAGGCATTTTCATTGGAATAAATACACGAGTCGATTAATTTTGAATGAAAATACTCCAGAGCAATCCTCCCTCAATTGTAAAGAATAAATGAGTCAATGACATCATCAATTCCATTAGCGTAAGCCATGAATTAAAAATTATAATTCAAAGTGCGTAATCCGCGTGTTATTCATGTTTTCAAAACGCGGTTAATAAGCTATCAATTTCCTGTTCGCCTAGGTTTCTTCGCCTAGGATTTTTTTAAACCTTATGTTAACACATGTGATCGTGAAGGGAACAACTATGAATGAACTTGTACGAAACTCATTGGTTAATCGAAGCATGTAGAATGGTGAATTGAAGAAAAAATAATAAAACCATTATCATAATGTTAAAAAAAGAATGGACTAAAATTCTTTCTTCTTTTAAAATTTTTCAATTCATTCCAACAATTTTCTTTATCGCTAATTAATAAATGCATTCGTTTATTTCAATGAAAACCTTTAATGACATGAAATTAATAATTCATTAACGATTTATCATAAATTATTTCATTTCTGACCAATTTATTCTTCATCTGGATGAAGAAAATGTTCCTTTATATCTGAACGATTATTAATTTGATGTGTTAATGAACAAATGAATGAATGAACTGATGTAATAAATAGATAAGTGAGGGGAAATATTTAGTGATTCGATGGACAATCTAGTCCAACTAGGCAGTTTAACTGCAAAAATAGAATTCCTTATGTAAATCCATAAAAATAAAATCGCGAATGAAAAAAAAAAACTCGCTGACCTTGACCCTTGGCCGCGACACGTAGAGCATCTATCTGTATTCTATTATATTGTCACCAGATCGAGATAGAGTGCATGGAATTATTTCTTTCCGACTGATAATAAGTAGTTGTGGGCTTCATGGCGTCATGTTTCATTGATTTAAAATTTTTTGATAACTATGCATTCAGGGTGGTAATAAGAAATCCCCATGTCGTTGTTTTATTATTATTAATAATAATAATCATTATTATTATTTAATATGGATATATATACCTTGACAAAAAGTAGTTATTGAAAAGAAATTAATAAAAATTGAGAATAAAATAAAATAAAATGAGATGAAAAATTAGTGAATGAATTCTATTTTGTGTTCTGTAGAGAAATTCGTAAACATTGCGAATGAATTTTTTTACAGAAAATTTATTCCGTTTATATTTTTTCCACAAATAGAGATATGTTATTCAATTACCCCAGTTTTTCAACCTCAATTTTTTAGAATTATTGTGAGTTTTTATTCGCCAATAATTAGAAATTAATTTTTCGTTCCTCATGAAGATTGAAAAAGTATCTGGAGAAAAAATAATTATGCAAAAAAGTAACATAAATTCATATTACTGTAAAATCATAGGAGTGAGGGGGACAAAATGAACTGTTTTCAAATGGCCATAACTCAGCATCGGCACAGTGAAATTCAAAATTTTTTTTCCACTTTGAAGATATTTTTTCAGCCTAAAAAATGAGCGCTGAATCAGACCAATCCCATCATCAGTTGGATTAGAAGATATTAACGATTTAATAAAATTCATTCTACTTGACCTCCCAATCGATAGCGTGAAAACAAGGTTATGTTGTTCTCCCAGCGAGAAAACCCAAGAACCCTCTGACAATACGCGATCCCCACCTGTCCGAGGGCATCAAATCCTCAAATTGAGGGATACATCAACGAAAAATTGTCCCAAACGCCGCGTTTACCCTGTCACCGCCCCCTGAACACCGAATCTCCTCATTTTTTTCAGCATTCGCCCCCGCGAAACAAGAAATGGAATAATTAAACGCCTTCCGTATGGCTTTCGGAGTACAACTCACCTGGACTGGCGATGAAAAATGAAGGATATTGTTGTCACCACTCCTCGACAATTGTCCGTTTGTCAAGTGGCTGCAGTCGAAAAGTACTTATTACGATTGGGGGTTTATTGTGGCGAAAAATACGACTCAGATCTTTAACGTGTGTCGGAGCGGTCGGAGCGCAGTAAACCTACACCAACGCACGCGCGCAATGTACAACAATGTACAACTGATGAGAGCGTGAGTTGGTGTGAGCTGTGAGAGAGGAAACGAAAAGAGGGGGAACTAGCTCGCGTCACGACGAAGGATTTCAGTGAGATTTCAGTAGTGAAGCGGTGAAACAATTCAAAACTACTCAGCCCTTCGCTGGGTTTTCGAGGAATACCTCTGAAATTAAGGAAAATAGCGAAATTTTTGTAACGACATTTTTTGTAGCTCTCAATGTCCTCTACAACAAATGTTATGACAAAAATTTGGTTATCCGCCTTAGATTCCGAGATATTCACGGAAAACTGACGAATAATTAAAATGGACTTGGAGTCCCAACCACGTCGAAAAAAGAAAAACACCCCTCACAGAAATCAGCAAGAGCAACCCCAGACCACTGAATATTCAAGATATCCCAAAGTCCCTCAGAAGAAGACATTAAAGCTATTTCAAAATTCTTCAAAAATTGTTCAATTCGGATATAAAATATGTTTAACAAAGACACTAACTAATTAACTAACACTAAGAGACTATTACAATATATATATTTTACTACTATATGTAATGATAAATTGTAATACATATTTATTGGCAGCTGGATGAGTCCGAAAAGGGTTCGGAAGCTTAATAAAAACAATGGACTTGGACCGTATGCCCGCTTCGCCACTCATTTGAGAAATTTAAATTCTCTATCATTATTTTGATAGTGATTACTATTATGCAGTGTGATGAAGCAGTGATGAAATGCACCAGAGTTGACAATAACCCTTCTCCGCCTTCTTATAAATGCCCCTCAAGACGAAACATCTCTCAAATTCTTTATATTTTTTTCAGTATTTTAAAGTCACAGAGATACTGTCACCTGATTATCACTTCATCGAATTCTTTACACAAAATGTATTCCCCTTTGAAAAATCCGCAATATTACAATCAGCAGCGCCATTACAGTTCCCAACTCAACCAACTCGACCAATGAACGTTGGTGTTGGTGGCGATGCCACCATCGACTTAACCTGTCAAAAAAGAACAAAGTGAACGAAAAAGTGAGTAGCCAAGAGCAAACCTCGATGGTTCAGCAGACTCCCCTGACACAACAAAAGCCCCCAGAATAGCATAATCGTTGCAATTACCCCACGTCTGCTCCAGTTTATTTATTTTCTCATTTTATTTCGTTGTCTAACGCCCGTAAATCATCACCACAATTTCATCGTATAAATCATTGGTCTGGGACGCCTAGACGGAAGCAAGACAAAAAAAAACGTACGACGAATCATTTTGTCAAAGATACACAGGCTGTTATGTATCAAAAATCATCAGCAGGTCAGTGCTCATAAATTATCAGCATCAGTTACTCCTCCTCTCCACGCTCCCATCATCATCCCCAACTACCGAAAAATAGTACATAACACTAGACAAATCTCCAATACATATGTCAAATATACCGTAGGTTAAAATAATAATCATAATCATAACAAAAAATGCGTGATGCATGATTAGGTATGGAATGTCCTTACATCGAATTGAATTTTATTATATTCTTTATATTGTGCATAAGAACATGGATGTGCCACATATGCCACGAGGAAGGAAAACAATTAGCAAGAATTACTGGGGAAATTGGGGAAAAGGAACTGCCGTGAGGATTTTTCGGGTTCCTTTGTTTTCAATTTTTCGTATATTTTTGCAATTGTTTCATGAGCACATGGGAACTGACGGGCTGGGGAATGAGGGGGTGAATAAGTTAGGGGGCAAAACGGAACGGGTTTGGTTGGAATGAAAGGGATAGGGATGGATGTAGGATAATTTTTTAAATGTCACCATGAGCAGGTTTTTTGAAAATAATTTTTTTTAAATCAAATGACAATTTTAATTCATTACTCCATCAAGTTTGCAATATTTCATACATTGGAATTAGACAATCATTTTAAGTGGTATTTTATCTTTGATATTGAATTACATGAATGATGACAAACTCATTGAATTTAACCGCTTCGCTACTTCACAAAAAATTGATAAAGATTTCTTCGTCGTGGTTTAAGATATTGAAATTAATCTTAAAAATTTTTGGAAAAGCTTCCACTCAGGACAATTATTCATTCCCTTGTTCGTCTTCCCCCAGAATCGTCACAGTAATTCAACATAAGTTCTCCCCAATCTCGCGTTCACACGGCCCTCCGCCACCATGTCAACTCACAGAGGAACCCAACAGAGTGCCCCACCGGGTCTAAAGCAAATCGACCTGGACCAGATATGGGGAGACCTTCGTGAAGGTATCGAGCAAGTCTACAATCGACAATGCATGTCGAAGCCGCGTTACATCGAGCTTTACACCCACGTCTACAACTACTGCACATCAGTCCACCAACAGGTGAGCAAGGATAACTCAACCTAGTCAATTATGCTAATATAATATTAAATCCAACGACATTATCCACTGCTTTAGTAATGAGTAATATCCTTCAAATAATTTTTTATCACTTCAATGATGAATAATTAATAAGTTGATAAATTAATAAGATTGAGTAAATAGGGGAGGGTAGGGTAAAATGGATACTTTAGAATTTTTTAAAATTATTCATAACTCAGAAATAAACGTACCAATAGAGCTCAGTTTAGGATCATCCCAAAGGGAAAGAATTGTTCTTTGTATTAAAAGAAAAAAAGATTAAATTTCATCAACATTTCAACCCGTCACTAATATTTTTAAAAAAGTCAAAAGTGTCCAGTTTACCCCAACCTACCCTAATATTATCCCTGCAGGTGACACGTACCACGACAAAAAGTAAAAAGGGCCAGATATCGGGTGGTGCCCAGCTGGTGGGTCTCGAGCTGTACAAGCGTCTCCGAGATTTCCTCAGGAATTATCTCATAAGTCTCCTCAAGCATGGAATAGACCTGATGGACGAGGACGTTTTGCAGTTTTACACGAGACAGTGGGAGGAGTATCAGTTCAGTTCGAAAGTACTGAATGGTGTCTGTGCGTACCTGAATCGTCACTGGGTTCGTCGAGAGTGCGAAGAGGGTCGCAAGGGCATCTACGAGATTTATCAATTGGCCCTAGTCACCTGGCGTGACAATCTCTTCAAGCATCTCAATCGACAAGTCACAAATGCTGTCTTGAAACTCATCGAACGAGAGCGCAATGGCGAGACCATAAACACACGTCTCGTATCGGGTGTCATAAATTGTTATGTTGAACTGGGTCTCAATGAGGAAGATCCTGGGGCTAGGGGAGCCAACTTAACTGTCTACAAGGACTCGTTTGAGAATGTCTTTCTCGAGGACACTGAACGCTTTTACACTAGGGAGAGCTCAGAGTTTCTCAGGCAGAATCCAGTGACTGAATACATGAAGAAGGCTGAGCAGAGACTCCTGGAGGAACAGAAACGGGTTCAGGTTTGTCAAGATCTTTTGTCTTTTTTTTTATTATCCAGATGATATTTTATTGCTAAAAGTCTCCATTCGTAATGAAATATTGAGGATTTACGAGGCTATTATTGGATTATTCTAAAGGAGAATTTATTTTCTGATGAAATTTTCATTTAAAATGATTAATTATCAAGAATAATTGTAATTATCAATAAAGAAAAATAGTTTATGTCAGATTGTAAAAATCTCTACAGCTAATTGCTCTAGAGAAAAGTCAAATTATTCTCAAATTTTTTCAGGTTTACCTCCATCAAACAACCCACGAACGTCTAGCTAAAACTTGTGAGCGAGTGTTAATCGAGAAACACCTTGACATATTTCACTCAGAATTCCAGAATCTCTTAGACGCAGACAAGAACAACGATCTCGGAAGGATGTACCAGCTGGTGGCGAGGATACCCAATGGTCTCGGTGAACTTCGAAATCTCCTCGAGGGTCACATTGCCAATCAGGGATTGGCAGCCATCGACAAATGCGGTGACTCAGCTTCCAACGATCCCAAGGTCTACGTAAACACAATTCTCGAGGTTCACAAGAAGTACAATGCCCTTGTCCTTGTGGCCTTCAGCAACGACTCTGGATTCGTTGCTGCACTGGACAAAGCCTGCGGAAGATTTATCAACAGTAATTCAGTGACAAGAGCTGCCAACAGTAGCAGCAAGTCACCAGAATTGCTAGCTAAATATTGTGATCTTTTGCTGAAGAAGAGTAGTAAAAATCCGGAGGAAGCTGAGCTAGAGGACACCCTCAATCAGGTAATGGTGATAGGATTGATGTATGGAGAAGTAGAAGTTTGATTGAAGATGTATCATTTTTTTTCTCAAATGTAAATGACATTAATTAAACTTTAGTTCATTTGGTATTTTTTCTTATTTTTGAATTTTTCCAAAAAACACATGAATGTTTTTCTTTCAAAATATCTTGAGAATGAATGATCTCAGATAAAAATTTCAAGTGTCAATTTTTTTTTCACTTAGACATAATTTATTAAAACATTCGCCGGGAAATAATTTATTAAAAGTTTATTTTGAATTTGAACTAGGTGATGGTAGTGTTTAAGTACATCGAGGATAAGGACGTCTTTCAGAAATTCTACAGCAAGATGTTGGCCAAGAGGTTGGTGCAGCACATGTCAGCTAGTGATGATGCTGAGGCATCAATGATATCAAAGTTGAAGCAGGCATGTGGCTTTGAGTACACTTCGAAACTACAGAGAATGTTCCAGGACATCGGGGTGTCCAAGGACCTCAATGAAGCATTCAGGAGGCATCTCACTAATTCAGCTGAACCACTGGACATTGATTTTAGCATTCAAGTGCTTTCGTCTGGTTCATGGCCCTTTCAGCAGTCCTTCACGTTCTCATTACCAACTGAACTGGAGAGATCTGTTCACAGGTTCACTACTTTCTACAGCTCCCAGCACAGTGGCAGAAAGCTCAATTGGCTGTATAATATGAGCAAGGGAGAACTTCATACCAATTGTTTTAAGAATAGATATACTCTGCAAGCCTCAACCTTCCAGATGGCTGTTCTTTTGCAGTACAATGCTGCTACAATGTGGACGATACAGCAGCTGCATGATGCTACACAGATCAAGATGGATTTTTTAGTGCAAGTCGTGCAGATTCTACTTAAGGCTAAGCTACTGACTGCTGCCGTTGAGGATGAGACTGAATTAAATCCTGGGAGCAATGTCGAATTGTTCAGCGGGTACAAGAAGTAAGTTATTGCTTCCAAATGGAAGCTGTGTAATCACTTAAAATCCGAATATTTATTAAATTCAATTTCTTTCTTTTATTTTTTATCTTCCAGTAAAAAATTGAGGGTCAACATTAATATCCCCATGAAGACGGAATTGAAGGTTGAGCAGGAAACAACCCACAAACACATCGAGGAAGATCGTAAACTCTTGATACAAGCAGCAATCGTGAGAATCATGAAAATGAGGAAAGTGTTGAAGCACCAGCAACTGGTTGCTGAGGTCCTCAATCAGCTCAATTCAAGGTTTAAGCCGAGAGTTCATGTAATAAAGGTATGCCAAATCCACATAAGCAAATTAATCATAAAAATTATCAACATTAATCAGTCTTTTTTTCAATTCGACAAAATTCTAAACACAAGTGGATTTTAAATTCACTATTCACTGCAAGAAAAACCCGAAATTATACTAGTGCTCAAAAAGACTGAATAGATCAGTAAAAAATAATTATCTCTAATAATTAATTATTGTTAATTTCTCAATTTACAGAAATGCATAGATATTTTAATCGAGAAGGAATACCTGGAGCGAACCGAGGGCCAGAAAGACACTTACAGTTACTTGGCATGATTTTCCCATGATTTGTGAATCATCTTTCTTCATTCAACAATTGAAAAAACCCAATAAAAAATCACCAGACAAGAAATAGAAGATAAAAAACGTCATAAGAATGTACTCTTTATGTCAGACAGTGTGTCAAGTGTTGCGCCAATTTCTGTTTCTCTACTCTTCGTTCATCGTCACACGTATAACTGTTCTCCTCTGTTTCTGTTAAAAACGAAATAAGGAGGAACAAAAACGATTAAATTCGCCAGATCTCGTTTGAAGAGAGAATAATCAATAATTGGAAGTGAAATGGTCGGTATTTTTGATGGAGTGGATGAAAATAAAGGAAACAGCATGTTTGGAAGTACGTTCGAACGTTTTCCCTGTGGTATTTAAAAATTTGTTTAGTTTTTTTTTAATTATTAATTAAAGGATGGAAATAAATATGGGAAATTTGCTTCATTTTCTGATATTATTTTTCATCTTTGCGGGTGTGAGATGAGATGGACTACCACGATGCTGGGATATAAATGGAATTACTGTGAAGAAAATCAATTTGAGTGGTGAAATGTCACTAACCATTATTATATTATTTTGAAATTGTAATAGAGAATTTTCGTTATAAATCATGATATTTTTTTACTGTTTATGTTTGTGCCCTCGACCTATTCAAAATTATTTTTCTTATTCAACCTGAGCGAAGTGGTTAATTACACATTTTTGGCTGAAATGCATGTGAATTCAGTGTGAGAAGAATGCATAAAATCGCCACAGATCGGGTTTGAACACACGACCCTTAGATTTCCAGTCTGAATCTTCCAACCTATGGCTGAGTGAAATGGTATTTAAATAATATGATTAAGACAAATACTATTTCAAACAGTTAATAAACAGTTTAGTTGAATAATTTAATTCAACTCCCCCGCAAGAGATAAATTTGTTTATTTATAATATTATTTTATATTTCAGATTTTTTGGTTCACAGTTCTCCCCGCATTTTAGTACTTTTTTCTCAACTCTTCAATCCTTATTCTATTCATCCCAATGGCCCATTGTGATCACCAACCCCTCCCTTCCAGTTCAATATTTTCGACAGATCCTGTTGTGTCAACTGCACTTGCTTCGAAACCTCCAACAACGCCTTTTGTTTCCTTAAATTGTCCATCAGTAGAATCTGCTTTTTGAACGCCTGCAGTATTTCAGTTTTTTGCTTCTGCACCTTTCTCATATTATTCCTCTCATTGTCCTTGAATTTTTTCATTTCACTTCGCAACTCCTTTTCCTCTATTTTACTGCACTTCACAGCAGCTCGCAGTTTTTCGTTTTCTTCCAGTGATCTGTTGAGACGAAGGTCTAGCTGGTGCAATTGCTGAGTCAGTGATTTCCATTCCTTCTTCAGGGAATCAATTTCCTGAGAGAAAAGATATGATGAAGATACACAATCTAGAAGATTAATTCTCCTTCACTTTCTTCTATTATCAGTTTACCTTCTTTAGAAATCCATTCTCTTGCGTTTGCTCATGAGCATTCGTTTGAAGATGATTTATCTGTGCCTCCATTTTAGCCAGTGACTCCTTCTGCAAGTTGTTTTGACTATACAATTTATCCTTCATCGCAGAAATCCTTTGATTCTCTGCCTCCAAATCCTTGATGCAATTACTTTTCTTCTTCAATTCGTCCTTCGTCGCCTGGTTTTCCACCGTCAATACTTCGATTTTCTTCCGCAAAATTTTGATGATTGCGTCGTTTTTTGAAGTTTCAGGCTTCGGAGATAGAATTGAAGCTGAATTCGATTCCACAGGATAGGTCAGTGCCTCGTTATTTCTTCTTCGAAAACAAAATTGTATTAATTCAGTCATGAAATGAGAAATTTTCGAAATTGAATTTTCAAGATTACCACTTCACCTCAATATCCCTTCTTCATTCAACATTCCCAATGCAAAAAATTTCTATAAAAGATAGTTACTCATCCGGTTGATTGTGTAGTGGATACTCGGCATAGAAATCATCGAAGGCCGAAGAAAACCGAGATTTGAAAGTGAAAGAAGCGCCGAAAGACTCTTTGGGTTGGGCAACGATGTCGATCTCCTTCATGAGCTCTTTCGTCTCCTCATCCAGTTCCCTATTCAACCGATGAAATTCCTTCTCTCTGCTCAGGAGATCCTCCGCCATTGTTAAAGTCTCGATAAACCGAAGAGACAACCGACTGTTGCTATGGCGTTGCTATGAACAACTCAAACAGGCCCGCGATTTATTCAACCCCGCATGACAACTACTTTATTAATCCAGAAGTCCTTACACCAATCAAAATCTGAATTTTGGCACGATGACGGGACGAATGATATTACAAGGTATTGAAAGAGAAGAAATAAAAGTCATCAAAAACCCTAGCGAACTCAATTAAAAAAACACATTTTCCAATTGTCTAATTATCTCGAAAACGAGCAGTTGATTTAGAGCAAAGTGTCTCGAAACCTCTTCTGCAGCTGAGCAAGTTCTCTACAAAAAATGTCTTTTGACATTTTCCCCTAAACTGACCCGTTCGCGAGATAATTCGATGATCAACGAGACGTGAAAGCTGTGCGCAATGTACTGACGATTAATTATCCAATTGGGCAGCATTCAATGAGTATCAAATCGCTCGTTTGAACTTCGTAAAAACCATATCAGACTTGGCATCGAGGCCCGAAAACATAAATGCCTTGGAAGTTGCTGGTGTACTGAATCTACTCGAATCCCTTCTCTTTGACAAAAACCCATCAGTCCAGCAGCACGCAGTCATAGCCCTAGGAAGACTAGTGAACTTCAATATTCGATTAGCCGAGGAAGTGATGAGGCGGAATGTCATAACAGAATTGATAAAAAATATTGATAAACAAAATGTACGAACTACGATGTAAGCATTATAAAAATTATAAACGCGAGGAGCAATGAGATATGAATATTGGGGGATATTTCTGCATTAATTCATTGCAGAAATTCATGAAGAAAGCTATTATGTTTGTTCTCCGAGCGATTTCAAAGCACTCGATGGAAATGGCACAGGCGATAGTGGACGCGGGTGGTTTGAGGACTATTATCCTGTGCTTGGATGACTTTGATGCGGGGGTGAAAGAGGCAGCCGCATGGGCAACTGGATATATTGCTCGACATGACAAGATTCTAGCTGAAACAGTGACTGATGCTGGTAATATTTAGGGGAGGGTAGGGTAGGGTAAAACGGACAGTTTTGCCTTTTTTTGAAATATTCTTGACGTGTTGAATTGTTCATGAGGTGGAATAATTTTATTTTCCAATTGAAAAACAATGATTCCTCTTTATGATGAGCTTAGACTGAGTTCAATTTATAAATCTGTTTCTGAGTTATGAATATTTTTTAAAAAGTCAAAAGTGTCCATTTTACCCTACCCTTCCCTAATGTATATTTTCATAATTTTGGTGCATCCATTCCTCAGGGGCTATTTCACTGCTGGTCCTCTGCCTCCAAGAGTCTGATCTCTGCCTGAAGCAGATAAGTGCGTCTGCACTCTGTGACATCAGCAAGCACTCGCAGGCGCTTGCTCAATCAGTTGCTAATGCAGGGGCTGTGTCGTTCCTCGCCAGGTCAATCCAAAATCCAGATCCCAAATTGAAGAGACAAGTGCTCCACGCACTCGCCAATGTCGCGAAGCACTCGACTGATCTGGCTGAGGCCGTCGTAGAAACAGATATTTTCCCCCAGGTTTTGGTACATATGGGGCATAATGACGCCAATGTCGGAAAAGCGGCTGCTGTTCTTGTGAGAGAGATCATCAAACACAGTCAAGAAGTAACTTATGTTATTGTTAATGTGAAATTTACACTAGATGCGAACATTTATTGAAGAAATATTAGCAAAGCGGTAAAATGATTCAAGTCGACTCAGTTCTTAGCTGATTTTTTTAGGACTATCTCCGAATGTAAGGAGATAATGACATTTTTGTAAGAACCTTTTGTTTTACCGCTTCGGTACTGAAGAAAAAATCATTTTTCCCCCCTATGAAGCTGTCCCAATTGGTCGTAAATACCGGCGGCATAGAAGCTCTCATTCAATTCTTAAAAACTACAAAATCCACAACGAGACTCCCCGGCATCATCGCCCTGGGCTTTATCGCCGGCCACTCGGCCCAAAGTGCCATGATGATCATAAGTTTAAATGGAGTATCTCAATTATCATCGATCCTCAATGAAGAGAATGATAGCCACACAGTCTCAACTGCAATCTGGGCACTGGGCCAGATAGGAAAACACAGCCAGGAGCATGCCCAGGCGGTCGCTGCTACCAACATCTTTCCGAAACTTCTTCAAGTACTATTGCCACCTAAATCACTTATCTTCCTACAGCTGGGGGTTGCATGAAGGCGGGAAAAACTTTGCGTCATCGATTCTCAGCCAATAGGGAATGGAAAAATCAGAAAGACGGCGGAAATAATTTGTTCATTTTGTAGAAACCGGATGAAGTGAGTTGAGGGTAATCTGAAGGGGATAAGTGTTTTTAAGAAATGTTTAAAAATGCCAGGTGGATGCGGCGCCCTCTTGAATACCCCCTCCCTCTACCACAAGGGGTTTGAAAGATGACGGTGCCTTCACCTCGCATTTTTGAACTTTTTCATCCCCTTTTGGCTGAGAATTAATGGCACAAAGTATTCTTATTAAAAACAATTTTTTTTTTCATTATTGTTCCGTAGCTCTACAGATGCAACAACAGTTCCGAGGATTTAAAACTCAAGATAAAATTCACTCTGAAGAATATTTTGAATAAATGCATGGATATAGAGGTCCTAGAGCCTTTTCTCCTGGTGACGCACCCAGACATTCTTAAATACACTCTGGAACAGCTAAGTAAGGTAAGGGATAATGATTTTCACAAGGAAAACATGAAGGAAATTAATCGAAAATTTAATTCGTTAGACAATTTTGTTAAAATTCAAACAGTTCTTTCAATTAAATTTCTTCATCAATAGATGAACAATAATATCTATTCGCAAGAGCTTTATTCTTCATTTTTGCACAATTCGCTTACAAATGAAGAAACAGTTAATGAACAAAAAAAATTGTACAAACAGACAATATGTGAATAGCAAATATTTATACATTTTCTATAAGTACCACAATTTTTCGAGATTTTCACGTATATTAAATGCAATTCATGTCATCAAGTGGTAAACGTGGAATTATCTCGGTAATGAGTGGTTTTACAGTGAAATGTCATAAATTATTTTTCGTGGGAAATTTAATTCTCTACGAAAAATGTTTTATAACATTTTCTCATAGAACCACTCGTTCCCGAGATGAATGGCGAAATACAAAAAATGAATGGTCAAATTTCACCACTTTGTTGACGAATTGTTTTCTACAGCTTTTTGTAGCTAAATTTTCTCGTTCAATCGTAAGCACTTTTGTTATTTCCTCCACATGACTGGTTACGGTACAATCGAGTGATTTATCGTTTTATGGTATAGACCCAGACTATATACTCAGTAAACGAACATAACACCATTGGTTTCTAACTAAAAATCATTTTCGTTTAATATTTTCTCCCATTTGTTGTACCTCCAATGTGGAATGCTCCATTTTTTAAATTATAAATACAAGAATTTTTCACCGTTTTTTTTTTTGTTTCGTAGAATTCGGATGCAAATACGAAAGAAGTATATATTATGCATGAAAAAAATGCATGATATAACTTGGAAAATTTCTCAGTCTCAAATTGTATTTCTTTATCAAAATGAAAAACCTTCGGACCACAGTAATCGAGATTGGAAATTACTAAGCGTAAAAGTCTTTTGGTTTCATCATACAGTTTATCATTAAGATCCCTTGTCTTATTTTTTTATCCTGTTTATGTTACGATTCTATCGATGAATTTTACGTAGACATTGTTTTCATGATTGTACAGCAGCAAGGATACATTAGAGACGTCTCTATCTGAACAAATCGGGTGAAGGGATTACGTGAGTTTCAATTACTTGATGTTAATTTGATGCTAATTAAGACACTATAAAGTACCGATCAGAGGGAGAATCCGAAGGACGAAACACATGAGGATAAATATCTCAAGTATTTTTTTATTACAAAAGGTTCATCGAGTACATTCTCGATAAAATAACGATTTACAAGTGAATAAAAAAGCCCCAATGGAAATGTCTTGGATTTATTCATTAGCGGAATACTGATGGATGTGACAACATTATCGAATGCTAAACTATCACAATTAAATTTCCACTACTAGCAGTAAACAGAAAGAGATTTACAAAAAGATGGAATGAATGAGTAATGAAGAAAGTACAATAGTCGTCGTGAATTTTCATGAAAAACAGATAAGGCATTGCGTTTGATCCAGTTACGAGTCATTATTTTTTCTCATCAATATACAGTATTCTAATAAATTTCACAAGCTCGGTAAAAGTTCGAAATATTTTAATAAATCTGCATGATAACTTGGTGTTCTCATAGGCATTTGTATAATTACTTTCAATAGAGTGGCTTTGAAAATCATTAAATCCATCCAGTTTGTCTCAATAGAACGGTTGAAACATTGAATTCTGCTCGAATCTCATTACGATCATGGCCAGTATTCGGCTCAGAGCTTGCACTTTGTTCAAATTTTTCTGCAAAAGTTGAGAGATCAATTAAAATGAAAATCTAAAGTATTTCAATGTCACAGAATCAATTTCAAATTCTCCGGTGAATTTCGAACGAAATAATGTTTTGTAGAATTCTCTACCATTACTTTTGATAGTGACTATTATTATTCAGTGGTGAAGTGATGAAATACTATCATTTAAATCAAATGAAAATATTTATTGATTACTCCATTAAATTTGCAATATTTCATTAATTAATTGAAAATAGAAATTATTTGAAATAGTATTTTGTCTTTCATATTTAATGACATGAGGGATGACAAATCCACCGAATTTAACCACTTCACCCCCAAATTTCTTGACCTATTCATCCGTATCGTCATTAGCTTTGATACTAGCATAATTATTAACATTTCTATTCACCCTTAACATCTTGAGGAAACTGCCAAGTACCAAAATGGTTTTTCTGTGTCTTCTGAATATCCCCGAGTAGAGTGCCTCCCTCACGTCCCTCCGATCACTGACATCCGAGTCAATGCTCGACACAGAGACCACCGAGGGCTTAGCCGACACTGGATTGTGGTGAAACTGTCCATTAGTGTCACCAGAGTTGACAATAACCCTCTGCTGATTGATCATCTTAGCGTTATTATAAATGCACCTCAAGACTATTTCAATTAAACGATTCTCATTCAATCATTAAACATCTCTCGAATTGTTTTCTCCACCACTCGCCTTGTGCTACTGATTTTTATCCCCTTGTGTATGAATCGCCGAGAGCAATTTTTTACAATGATAATTATGACGAGTGATAAGGCAGTTTGTTTGATGGCGAATGATTTAATTCAGAGATCACCGAGTTTGTCTGAGAGATTTACGGTTTGACGCAATCAGGCCTGTTTTTCATTATGTTAGAGTCGATTTAATCATTCTTTTGGATTTTTAGACGAGATAAATGATTATTTTTAATTACGTCAGACGGTTGGTGATGATTGATGGAGAAACTGATGGTATATCGCCTATTGCAGCTTGAATCTCCGAGAATTGTCAGGTTTCGCTTGTTGATTCAATCTTGAAGATTGTTGTGATGACAGTGAGACGATGTTGATGATTCTCTTCGCGCGGAGGTGGATGGGGTCAATCATCCATCTAGAACTGAAAATAGACTTGTGTTATCGATTGACATTTGTTTTTCATCTTGACTTGTTGATTAATCCATTTTATTTCCAGAAAAATTTTCTCTATATCATCATCGCTTTTTTGCTGAATAATAATGAGAAAATTTCAATTCATGGAGAATAATTTTGAACTTAATTCGATAATGAATTGCTCTCTTTCATTGGGACGAGTGGCATTTCTTCTTTTAATTAATTTTTCCTCGTAAATAGGGGAATCGATATGCAATTGCAGGAGAAACGAAATGAGCTTGCCTCGCTGTGAATTATTAAAAGTAATTTATGCTCATTACGATGTTTGTTTTCCTGTGACGTCAGACGGAATGAGGAAAAGAGGATTAGTGGAAATGATAAAGAAAAATTGAATTTACTCAAAGGGCGTTTCATATTTGAGATAAGATACTCCGGGCGCCGGGTATGAAGCTACTTTAGAGCCGATTATGGATAATTGGTGGAGGAATTCGGTAGCCAAGTGGTGAAAGCTAAAAACTAAAATACGACTTTAGATTTTCATTGGAAATGACATTTGCCCCTAGAATCCATCTTGCCTCTCACTCTCACTGATTCCTCAATTAACTCGATAAAGAGTGGTTTTAGTGAAAAAAGTCTCAAAACCTTTTTTGCAGCTGACGAAATTCCCCACAACAACTGTTTTCTCACATTTTCTCCTAAATCCACTCGTCATGGAGATAATTCAATTCCAAAAAGGTGTGAAAAATCAACTCTTTCATTTATGCTTCACCACTTGTAGAGCTTCGCGGATAAAAGGTTTTATGATAAATGGGAACAATTACACTTCACCACACGTCAACTGACCTCATCATTCGCCCGAGCAACACCAGAAACTGAAATCTCCTCGGTATTCTGATACCAAAATGAATAAAATTGCGTCGATAGAATTCCAGAGATGGAGATTAATTTTTGTGTTGTGACGAGTTGATGAAAGAATTTATTGTGTGGCTTTATTGGAACCTCCTTTGTTGTCGCACAACTGTCAATTGTGACCAACAACACTGTATCGACTCTGACTGAACATTATTAATGGCACTGAAATGCTTGTGTGCTTGTGTATAGGTCAGGTTTCAGGAAGCCTTATTCTTAGACCCAACGCTGTAACACATTAACCGGTATATCGCGTGCTAAGTGGAAAAAGGTCGTATTGACCATTTTGGTAATTTTAGGCCAACGAAGTGGAAAAAGTTCGTATAAACCTAATCTACGGACTATGAAATCTGGACGATTTGGGCTCTTTAGAATCATTTGAACGCAACTTTTGAGGATCGTTTTTGTTTTTGGCGCATACGACCTTTTTCCATAAATCTGCCTCCAATATTAAAAAAATGAAAAATAATCATGTTTCCCACAAAAATTTAATTACGTACAAGAATTTGGATAAAACAAGTAGTTGGCCGAGCCTATTCGGCAGGAGACATTTGGCCATTACTTTTTTCATTAGTTGTCTTCTTTCTTTTTATTTCTACCAATTCGATTGCTAGTATACTTCCGAACGGATCCGTAGCAATCTCATTGAAAATAGAGATCATCAGATCACTATGAATGAAGCAACTTGGAAGTATGTAATGTTTGATCATTTTTTTTCTCATCAGATCGGGAATCTTATCTACAATTTTTTTCTTGTTTTCAACAATTCACAACAAAATTTTTCTGATCAATCTTTTAATTCATCATGATAGTTATTTATTTAAATAAATGGTAAAATCATTATGTGAAGCGCTGTATGCATACGAAATACCGCTAGTATCTCTACAAATTGATATCTCACCTATCCTGACAAAATTACCTGTGGAAGAACACATGATGATAATAAAGGAAGGAACGAAACTCGAAACAATTTTCAATACGAACTTTCATTGTCACGAGAAGAAACGTTTGTCCAAATTTCAAGTTAATAATAATGATATTTCAATTTTCACACAGGCTAGAGCGCGCATACGTTTTAATTGATCTAGATAGAGGACACTGGGATGAATATTTTGAAAAAAAAAGACACATTGAAATCGGTTGCGTAATTTTTGAGACATAGCCCATAATAGGTTTTCAGAAAAAGTTGAATATCTCCGAAACTACTGGACCGATTGAGCCCATCTTCCATACCAGTTTTCCTTATCACAAGGGAAACATTCTGTCCAAATTTCAAGTTGATATTCCAATTTTTCCGAAGGCTAGAGTGCGTACAAAGTTTTTCATGAAAATACAGAAAATCGGGAATATCTCGAAAACTTAATATGGACATTAAGACGAGTATTTTGAAAAAAGACAAATTGAAATTGGTCCACTAGTTTTGGAGAGATTCGTGAACGACGATTCACAAACAAATAGCTTTTTCTCAAAAACGATTGGGCCGATCGAGCTGAAATCGTGCACAGAGTTAGTCCTTAAGAAGACCTATAGTCGTGCAAAATTTCATATTTTTTTGAATTATTTTACCCCACTATTCTTTCAGTTTTCAAAAAGGACATCTCGCCCTGGAGGTGTTCACATACAAACATGGTGCCCAAACTTCGTATTTTTACGTTTCAGACCATTCTACATCGTTTCCAATCAAAATTAGTGAATGTGAAAATCGGTCGATTGCAATGCTTCCCGTTCGGAAGCAAAAAGCTGTAAAACACGTCTTTATTTACGGATCAAATGAGATCTAGGTACAGAGATATTTTTTAGATTAACGGGCAGTCTCCTTGGCAACGTTTCCCTTCCATCGTTGGCGTCTGGAGGATCTCGTCTTCCATCTGGAAGAAGAAAAATGGAAACAACACTGAAATTATGAGTCAACTCGCACCACCCAGAAAAATGATCTTTTGAATTGAATAAACTTTATTTTAATGACATAATTCGTTTATTTAATTCTAATAAAGTATTTATTCGATGCAAGTAAAGGTGATTCAATTCAAATAATTCATTTTTCTGGGTGGTGCGAGCTGACTCATAATTTCACTGTTGTTTCCATTTTTCTTCTGCCAGATGGAAGACGAAATCCAGCAGACGCCAGCGATGGAAGGGCAACGTTGCCAGGAAGACGTGCCCGTTAATCTAAAAAATATCTCTGTATCTAGATCTCATTCGGTCTGTAAATAAAGACGTGTTTACAGCTTTTTTTATCCAAATTCTTGTACGTAATTAAATTTTTGTGGGAAACACGATTATTTTTTATTTTTCCAATATTGGAGGCAGATTTATGGAAAAAGGTCGTATGCGCCAAAAAAAAAATGTCCTCAAAAGTTGGGTTCAAATGATTCTAAAGAGCCCAAATCGTCCAGATTTCATAGTCCCTAGATTAGGTTTATACGACCTTTTTCCACTTCATTGGCCTAAAATTATCAAAATGGTCAATACGACCATTTTCCACTTAGCACGCGATATCTAAATACGTGGTGTGCGGTATTTTCTTCAATATCTCAATTGCCTTTATTTTTCGTAATTAAGGATGTTCAAGTATCTTTTGCAGTTTGGTGGAGACTACACTATAGTTTCAACCATTTTCAATCATCAAATTTGTCAATTAAATCGCGTGAGAAAAATTTGAAAAAAATCATGAATATTCAGCGTCATTCAAATTATATTTTGCGCAGAATTATTTTTCTAAACATTCGTTGTTCATAAATAAATAATTGAAATTGTTTAAACTTTCGGAAATCTTTTTAGGCATGAAGTCGATTTTTTGTGAAATCTTCAATATGAATAAATTTGTTACGATTCCGAACAAATGGTTTTTATAGTGGAAAATTATCGCTGTCGCTTTGAATCGTTTCACCGCTTCGCTATTGATTTCCAAAATGGATACTCAAAATCAAAAACTCCATTCGAATGATAAAGGGCAGCAAAAAAAAATCGGAAAAAACTAGCACTAAACAGAATAAAATCAAACGAAAATTAAATGAAACACCAGAATAACGTCGAAATGCATACGAATAAAAAAAAATCCGAAAATCATTTCCAGATTCTCCCGCAAGACCCCAAGGCCCGGAGACTATTCGTCTCCATGGGGGGTCTCCGGAAGATCCAGGAGATCCAACTGGACCCCGGCTCGACCCTCTCCCAGTACCAGACCATCATCACCTCCTGCTTCCCCGAGGAAATTGTCAGGTATTGAACCCCAAAACCCAAAAATATTAATTTCCCCCACCTGTTGAATCCTCGAATCATTTCCTTCGCCCCTCGTCACTCGAGTAATTCTCACACGCGTTATCATTATCACGTCATCCTGCACATGTGTCCACTCCAATCGCACCAATCACTTCATTACAGCAACAACTGTTCGCGACGATCACTAGGTACTTCGAGACAATCAAATTCATTCTAAAAAAAAAATTTATTTAAAAATGTCTCACAGGTGCACATCATCGTTAATACCGATGACATGAGCCAATGGAGCTTTAGCACTTGATCTGACACTTGGCACGAACATCATTATAAAAATTAAAATTGTTGGAGAATTGTTTGAGAACGCTTATTTCGTCCTGATGATGTTATTTTCGCATGAATTTATTGTTTGTTTTGCTTGACGTGGGATTTAACATCGGTGCGGGCGCCATGTTTGAGGCACAGCTGATGCATGTACGTCAGCTGAGCAAATTATGGGGGGGGGGAGATATGTTTCGATCGATAATATCTTTGAATTTGACAACTTGATTTTTAAAAAACGAGCAAAAGTTTCTTAAATGATCCTCAGCGCTTGTTCTTTTTTTAATGTTGACGTTTGCGTTCGTAAAAGTGAAATTATCTGGTTAATCGTCGATTTTATGAGAAAAACACACAAGACAGTTCTTATTGTGGGAAATTTTTTCATCTACAAAAAAGGTTTATACAAAAATTTCGTATCCCCCTCAGATTTTCAGATATTCTCAAAAAATAATTATTTATGCATTTCGTTTCACCACTCCTTCGAAAAATTGAATAAAAAATTAACGTAATTTTATATTCAAGGTATTTCTCCCCTGGATATCCCGAGACGATCCTAGCAATTATCGACACGTATAAACCAAAAATACCACCGAATTTTGGAGACTCTAATCGGATCAGATCATCGGAAAAATCGATCGGTTCTATGATGTCACTGAATAGTGTCAGTGAAAAATATTGATGGAATCATCCTGGAGAGTGAGGAGCCTCGAAGTAGCTCTGGAAGTCTATTGTCGAGTTGGTGAGTGGCTGAGCATATACGTTTGACTTTTGCGATCTCATATGGAGATCCGTGTGTAATCGTAAGAGTCGAATGTATGTATACGCTCGCCACTCGTCGAGTCGAGAATAGACTCCCTGATTTGGGGGGCAGTCATTTTTGGGGCTAAAAGATGGTAAACGGATACCCACATCATTGTCAAAGTTGATAGATAAATTATTTGCTGATATTCGCACTGTCAATTACATTGTTTTTCAATAATTTAGGAAATTAATTGCTAGTGTACTTGAATGGCAATATGAGCCCGTAGGGAGAATGCCGCGAGATGGTGGTAGTGTCGACTTCCCGACTAGGTCGGTCAAGTAGGCAGCAGTGGCGGGAGAAATGTTATTGGGTCAAATAAGGAATGTAGGGATGGGTGCAACTGGACACAGTCAACTGAACTGTTACGTTCCAAGCTGGTTCTCCGTTGAACAGATGGCAGGTCCAATCAAAGAGGATAGACCTGAGTAGAGGCCCGGATCGGGGGGTTTGACTGAGTCCAAAAATATTAGTTGGTACCCCACGGGAAAGGCGGCGTCCCGGTCGAATTGTCGGTTAATGTGAGTCGGGTGCGTGAGTATACTGGCGACAATATGAGAGTGATCTTTCCATCTAACCCCTACTTCCCCCACCACCGACGCGCGCATGCGCAATGCTGCGGGAGCACACCCTCAATCCGCCGGTGCTATTTTCTTGGGTTTTGAAGACGAAAATTTCGTGCAACACACAGCGAAAAAATCGACTTAAAAAAAAACCTTTTTCATCATTAAATCTACACTCATTAATCTATTCATCCATTCATTCCTTTAGCTCATTCATTCTTCACATTAATTCATCATTTAATCATTTTATTTTACAGCTCTTCATAAAAAAATATCGTGTTTAAAAAGTGTTCCAGTGAAGACTTGTGTCATTATTTGTTTAAATTAATTTTGTGGCTTAGCAAAAGTGTTTCAGGGATCCAGTGACATCGATAATTTTCTCTTTTTCATTGTGAACATTTAGAAGAAGTGGTAAGTAGAGCTGATATATTACTACATGTTTTATGGAATTATCGGGATTTCTAGGTTAGGTTTGTGTTTACCGGCCGGTGTTTGCTTAAATTTTTTGCAAACTCAAAAAAAAATCATTATTATCGGAAAATACAATTGAAAAAATAGGGAAGGGTGGGGCTAAATGGCCCAAAATGGATCCCTGATTCAATTTTTCGATTTTTGAGTTTTAACTGCAAATGATGTAGAATATGATGAAACGTCGAGAAATAACGTTTTTATGTTTATATTTTCTTTTCCGAAATCTAATTTCAGAGGCGATTTCGCTACAAGTACTGACAAAAAGTCTTTTTCGAAAACTAACGTTTTCTGAAGTAGGAAA